TAAATTCTAAATATAGTGTGAAAAAGTTTACCAGTAATTCTCACATACACAGACCACATATGTTATATTAAAGGTTACTTTATTAATACGTGTATATATGTATTCTTTACACTAAAACCTGTTAACTCAATTTTTCTTCTTGGGCGGTTTCGGAGCCTTCTCTAATCCAACGATATATTTCTTCAGAATTTTGAATTCGTCTTTAAATAAAAATAAAAATTAAGTTAGAGAAAACTTTAGTTTACAATGTCTTAAGAATGGTTTAAGTACAATTGATTATCACAAACTACTGGGAGATTATTATAATCTGTGAGATTATCATGATCTTTCAGGTGATTATCCCCTACTATCACAATTTTCATGTCTTACCTAGTAAAAGCTGTGCAACATAGTTAATCTGGTTTCCTTGTATAAGAACTTGAAATCCAGCACCATTTCCTGGTAGAGGACTTATTGATGTACTTGCAGCTACATTTACTTGTACTGTACGGGCAAAGGATTTTGGATCAATGCCAAAAACCTCAAGATTCTGAACTAGTGTCACCTGAAGCAAATAAAAGGATGTGATGTTAAGCATTGTCGTAGAGGCACAGTAACTTATATTACAATCTTTGTTTCTGATAAAAGGTGATTTAGAATGAAATACTTAGCATTGATGATGGTTGAATATTACCTTTTTATTACCAGTTCTCTTTTCAACATTTATAGTAATTGAAGGCACTTTTCCTTTTTTGATTCCACTGTTTTTTGATATTGTTTGTCCAGGAAATGTCAGCTGATAACCACTCCCCATTTTTGTGTAGCATCTGAGAAAGAAAAACAAATATTTTGTATTTGAAGACAGGTAATGGTTCTTGAGGAAAATGAATAGTTTTAAACATTGGAAAAATGAAGGGAAAATGAATAGTAATAATTCTGGGTGAGTGAACAGGAAATGAAATGCTAACATTGGATGAGTGAGAGAAAACTATATATTGTTAACTTTGATCAAAAGAATGAAAATTAAGTGTTCAACAATGGCTGAATGTGGGGGAAATGAAAAGTATTAACTCTGGGTCGGTTGTGAGTGAATGAGAAATAAAATGTTAACATTGGATAAGTGAATGAAATTAAGTGTTAACATTGGGTGAGTAAGGGGGAAATGAAAAGTATTAACTCTGGGTCGGTTGTGAGTGAATGAGAAATAAAATGTTAACATTGGATAAGTGAATGAAATTAAGTGTTAACATTGGATGAGCATGGGGAAATGAATATGTGTTTGGTTTGGTTAAGTGAGGGGGAAATGGACAATGTTAATTCTGGATGAGTAAGGCTATACACAAAGTAATAAATGACAAAAGTTCTACTTGGTATTGCATACAATTGTGTGGATAGGGGCAGCGATCAATTTTTGATTTTGTAAACTTATTAAAATTATACTCATTATATATCCATGCAGTCTCGCTTACATCACTCTTGTTTATTCAAAAAAATAGCAAAAGTGTGAATACTGTGACAGACATTACCTTTGAAAGAGTGCGTCCCATTTGACATGTGATATGTGGTATTCTGATTTCTGCAGCAGAGCATCAGTTAAATGAGGATCAAGTACCACCTGACTAGGTTCAAGAACACAAAATACCAACACATCACTTTTTGAAATTTAAGTTAAAAATAATTTCCCATCATGAAAAAGTAAACAAAACAAGTAAGCAATATCCTTAGTAATGATATATAGTAGATATTTGGTAATCGTTGTCATAGGTAACCATTCAAAATAACTAAATGTTTCAAGCAATGGCTTTTTATCAAGAACACAGAAAAAAATGTTTAAATGGAATAAACTAAATATAAAATATAAAATGGAATAACTGAATAACTAGAGTATATGTGAGTTACAAAATAAATCCAGTTGTGTTATGGAACAGAATGAGGAGAAATAAGGTCCATTCATGTTCAAATCATGCAATGAAATTTGTCAATGCACGCTAATTACATATTTATCTCACAATGTATGAGTACCTGCTGTAATTTTGAATAAAAGTTCTATGTAAGAACAAACTGTTTTGTATGTCACTGAATTACTGTATTTGTCCGAGTATAAATCCCTGCTCGAGAATAAGTGCCCCTCCCAATTTACAGAATTTTACAACAAGTCATTTATCCGTTTATACAAGTCTGGCAAAATTATTTGGTATGTGAATAACGGTAGTTCCCTTCCTGAAGGATGTGGTGGCCCTGAAAAAGACTGTTTGATTTGTGTTTGCACAGTATATGCAAACTTTAATGTACCTCCACTTTATAATGCGTTTCGTGTAGTACCGGTTTCTGCCGTAAATTCGCCCTGGGCCGATAAACAGCAGTTTGGGTTTTTAAAAAAATAAAATGGGACCAAGAAATATTTCGGCAGTTTTTAAAGTTGTTTTTTAAATATTTTGGCGTCATTTTTCGGACATTTCAATCTTTCCTGATGCCTAAAATGGTCTATTTAAGCTTTTATTCACGAGCTTGTTTATTGTGACTAGCGTGAATGGATAAGCTTGTTTCGACAATGAGTCGTTATCACTGTAAACAATGTTAAATTATTCTTCTAATGCTCAGTTTATCTTTTGAAAAAAAATATTTTTTATATGAATAAAAATAATCATGCCGTATTCCCATCAAAATCCAAGCCAAAAGATCATATTACAACATCGGAAAATCTCTTCTGCGTTGCGTTCAATAACATTAACATATTTAAATGAGCTATGGTAATTTGAACATGTTGGCATCATTCGGCATTTTGATTAATTAGCGGTTTGACCTATTAGGTCAACTCTGCAAGAGAAAGAACATAGCGGGTAACAACCGATCCTTTGAACAATGCTAGTCAATGAAGACGCTCGTGTACACACGACGATTTGTTTGTGAATAAATTAGCATCAATTATCACTCAGGAGAAGTTTTAACTTTTATTTGTATATAACCCCACCCCCTAATTTTTCGTGAATTTGCTGTTTTCCCCGGGGTTTATACTCGGACAACTACGATGAGTAAAAATATGCCTCTAGAGAAATACAAGGTTTATAATATAGCCTACCTTTTGTTGTTTGGATCTATCAATTCATTGCTTTTCACGTAGTCAGTCAGAGCACTGCGGACTTGTTGCTGAGTAAGCCATGAACCTTTACTGAAAATATACATAGTGACAAAACAAGAAAATAAACGTATGTTTCAAATGTCACTCAAACAAAACAAATCAACAAAACCCGTCTGCACACATGATACAAACTGACATACGAACGGAAACTAAAACATAGTTATTTTTCTTACTACGTCTGATAGGGACAAAGAATAATCATAAAACATATATCTAAGTAAGACTGTGTAGCCCATAGGAGTAAATTTTACATATGAAAATCATAACTTACAAGCATGTGATTACTAATTTTAAATAACTGCTTAATTGCATGGAAAATAAGTTGTCATGGTAACATAAATATACATTTTGATTTTGTTATCGCAAATCACACACAAAGTATACACTTAGGCAGTACAATCGATCAACACAAAGCCTGATGTATAACAATACCACATCGCTAGACATAACAAAATCATTGGAGTCCGCATAATATAGAGGAACAATACCTGTATCCTGAAGTTTGGAAGAGTGGCAAGGTAGCAGCATTCACTGCAAATAATTCTATTATCTCAGGTGAATGATATTCACCACTTGGTGGCACTATTTCTGTTTCTTCAAGAACTTCATTTGTGAAATTTGGAATCTGAAAAGCCCTCACACTGAGGAGACAGAAGATGGGAATATTAATCCTGACTTCATGAAAAAAAAACAAGTCATTGTCAATGACAAGTATTTGGCTGAAATAACAATTGAGGAACAAAATTATGTCTTGTCTACATAAAAATATTTGTAAAGAAATGACTGGGAAATTGTTAAAGGCAATATTGTAATACCATGAACAAAAAAACAAATAAACAAATAAGTTGTTCACTACTTCATGATGTATCACCTTTAAGCGAGTTACTCCAAAAAGAGAGCAACAATCCTCTGAAAATCCTTTGTGTCTCTGTGTTAAGCTCAAACATTTTAACAAAGTTCTCATTTTAATAGTGACAGAAAGCTGAAATTCAGTCTTCAAATACACCCAAACTATAACATTTTACATGAAATACTTAATCAGAATTGTAAATGAAGGCATGTGCTTTGCATTGTGTGTGTTATAAATTGTATAAGTTTATGTTGAATGGTCGCTGGAAGGTGATTTTATTTCATTTTTCCATGATGCTCTGCTTTATTTTATATCTTGCTATTTTCTCTATGTGAACATTGTTTAATGTAGAATATCTGTGAACATATTCCCCCACTACCGCATAAGGAAAAAACAGCATTGATTGGTTCATTAAGTTATTTGGGGGGGGGGGGGCGCAACCTAGATCTCCATGAGTGTGTATCTTGCTGACTTGCATGAATGACATGCTGTTTTGTTCATGGTATTATAATGCTGGACATTTGTCTTTAAGGACAATAAAATTAAAATTAACACGGCTG